CAAAAATGATAATTAGATATTATTCTCATACATTTTTGTTTAATGCTTTTTATTTTCTATGCTTGCAAATCCTATGAATTTGCTTAATAATTGGAAATATTTTTAATAGGGGAATTCATTATTGATGATTTTTCTTGCCAATATTGGTGGTATTTTGGACAAGGATGGCAACAAAATGTATGCCAAAAAGTTTTTTTTTCTTTTTTTCCTCATTTAACAAAATTTTTTTTTTCAATGAATAAGAAATGATGAAACTTATGGATTAATTGCTCTGACCAATATAGTGCAATTAGCAATTTCAATAATCATAAAAAGTCAGGGTTTAATATTTTTAATCGTTTTTCAGCTTCGTTTAGTAGCTGAGATTGCAGTAATTGTAATGACAATATTTCAAGTTGTTAACGATGGAATAAATATTCGTCGTACTGGCAGAAAACGATGGTGGCGAATACTGGTCAGTTTTGTGATATTGACCATTTGTAGGATTGGCATTTATCATTAATCAAAATTAAAATATGCTTCAAAAAAAACAAAATAAATAAATGCATTATTACTATAATACATTTTCATTTCCATTATTTTTTTCGCAACAAAAATTAAATATTTTAAATTTACAATGAAATTTATCCTCCATTATATGATGTTTTAAATTGATTAATGTGGAAATTTTTTTTTTTTTTTTAGCAATTATCTTTGATATTTTTTCGTCTTTTTGACAATAAAAATTAAAATGTTTTAAAATTACAATGAAATTTATCCATCATTATGAAATGTTTTGAGTTGACTAATGTGGAAATTTTTTTTGTTTTTTTAGCAATTATTTTTGTAATTTTTTTTTCTTCTTTTTGACAATAAAAATTAAATGCTTTAAATTTACGATGAAATTTGATGGAAATTTTTTCTAGCAATTATTTTTTGTAATTTTATTTTTAGAAATCATTCCCAGCGAAGATTGCATACAAAATATCACTCATACTTATTCTGCTAACAATACCATTTCGTATAATGTGTTCAATGACACCAAAAATACTCTTTTTGGATAATGCACTTTCATTACTTGCCATACTTCTAATCAGCGTACACTTTTTATTCTATTCAAGGTTAAATCACTTTCTTTACTAATTAATTCAAATTAATACATGGAAAAAATTTGTAGGAATTAAGGAGAAGTACAGAGAGAAAAAAAATTTAAAATGTTTGCTTGCAAATTTTTGAGATAGAACATATAACACTTTCAATTTACAAATGAAAGATTAGCGGAATTTTTGAATTGATTTTATTTGTTTAGTGGTTTGGATTCATCGAAAGTAAGTAAAATGTAAAATTGGTGTAAATTGTATTCGAAATATTTCTGCTTTTCATTTCAGGTTAATATAAATAATAAAGGTCAAATACAGATCTGTAATGAATGATAAATAGCAAAAGGAATAATTTGAAATTTCAAAAAAGCATTTTGAATTGGCTATTAATTGAAGTGAACATCATTAGCACGATGGTAACATATTCATGGAAATTTTAGAAAATTAAACAATTTGTTTCTGCTAAATTTAATTAATGCTTAAAATTTTAGAGCTGTAAAATTTATTGGACCATTCGTTTTGATGATATACACTATCTTATCACGAGATTTGAGTCGATTTTTCCTCATCTATGCCATTTTTTTAATTGGCTTTTCTCAGTGTAAGTGTTTTTTTTTTCTCATTTATTTTTTTGTATGAGAAAATTTTTCTTTTTTTTTTTGAAAATTTATAATGAATAATAATTTTCATATATTCCAATTTCATTTAAAATGTGTTTCTTTTTTTTTTTTATTTTAGTTATTTGTTTTAAATGAGGATTGATGCACCAAATTCTTTAGCTCTAAGCAACGTTGGCTAGCATTTTAATTGCATTTCCTTATGAAATTAAATTATCAATGAATAAGAAATTATCTCATTGTAGTAAAAATATTTCGTTTGATTGTTTTCAGTTATTAATAAACTTAATTGCTTAATTCATTTGTAGCATTTTACATAATCTTCATGTCATGTGCTCGTCAGAAAGCTCAATATCAAAATGTTACTTTGTCAAGTGAAACAGATCACATTATGAGTAATCCAATGGAAGCAATAATGAGAATATTTATCATGACCATTGGTGAATTTATGGTTTTCTATCGTAGAATGGTGTTTTTGTGTGATAAAACAATCATGATATACATTAGCAAGGTTAGCAATTTTTAGGCAATTAAAATTAGAAAAAAAAATGAAATGAATAATTGGAAGAGAATTGGATAAGATGTGAGTGAAAGTGAAGCTATTGAAATTAAAATTAGAGAATGAAACTCAGTGAAACTTTGAAAAGATATTGAAGAACGTTGTTGTTGTATAAATTACAAGAAGTTAAATAATTCATTAAAATATATAAATTAGCTTATTGTTTAGTTATAAATAATAACTTATATGTCGAAATCATAAATATGTATAGTTTTACTAAAACACAACCTATTAACTATTTATTTACTATCGTTAAATTATCATTAACTATTAATTGCTTTTGTTTTTTTCTCTTATTATCCTTAAAGTTTTTTATCATATTTTCAAGTTGTAATTTCTATAGAAAACATGTAATAAGCATAGGATGAAAAGAAAAGGAAAAGAAAAAGTGATAAGATAAAATAGGTTTTGCAATTTACAATTGCAAAAAATTAGGATAATAATAGTATTATCATCAAGAAATGTAAAGTTTATTTTTTAAGGTAATATTTGTTATTTACGAATTATTTGTTAGCGTTATGCAATTTAATTTGCTAATCGCAATGATGGCTAGAACGTATAATTTAATATCCGGAACACAAACTGAATGGAAACGACAGGTATTTGCTAATTAGATAATTTGATATTTTTTAAAGAAATTAAACAATTAAACAATTTAATGCTGAGGAATGATGAAAATTTTTTATATTGCTAAGTTTTATATTTTTTAAATAAAAAGTGGGCGCAAGTTATTCTCATGTTGGAATTTTCATTAAATGCAAAAGCTCGCCTTAATGCATTACTCAAATATTCACGACCAATTGGTATCGATAAACGAGAACGAGCATTTGTTGTTGTACGAAAAACAACGGTTAGCATTCAAGCGATTTATTTTAATTCCATAATTTATGAGTAAAAAATTAACTCAAACCATAAGCGAGATTTTAGATTTTATAAAATAGACTATGATAAAAATTTAAGCCGATAAGCCGATATCTTTTGCACATACTGATAATAAATCTATCCAATAGATTTTATGATATAAATTGAATGGAACAATTTTTATCTTTTTTTTTTAAATAAATAGTGCAAGATGCAATGAATTTAGTAAAAATCATTTGAATTTCACAAAAATGAATCAAAATTTTTAGCACGAATATTCACCAAAAACGGGGGAACAACTGTGCGAGAAAATGCGAGAAAGGAGACGAACATCCCTGAAAAGACGATTGAAGGTTCTAGGAATAAAATTAGATTTGAAATGAACTGAATTGAAAGAAGTTAAAATAAAATGAACTAATGAAATTGAATTCAGATAAAAAAAAAGAATCGAGCTTTAATTTTCATTTATGATAATAATAATACTGATAGCTTAAACTTTTTCTACTAATCAAATTATGCCTTTCCTCATTTGGAAAATGAACATTTCATTTTCTCCACAATATAAAGCTCCAATTAATTATTTGTCTTTGGTAAATCATCTGAAGTCATTGTTTTAAATATGTAACGCTGATGCTATTTTTTTTAGGATCGTGATCACAAACAATGCAGCGATGAACCGATTTGATCAAATGGACTGGCATTTTGATTGTTATCATTGAATTACTACAAAATATTATTTATCTTTGAACTAATTATTTATCTTTGATTCTAATAGTGCTATTAATGAAAAAAGAAACATACTAAAATTCTATTTCAGTGTTATTATGTCTTGTAATCAGAATATGTTATCATTAATTGATGAGAAAATCGAACGGATAAGAAGAGGAAAATTATTATATGTTAAAATTTTGGTTGACGCTAATTTTGACTGAATAAACCACGCTACTCGCGTGGTTTATTCAGCCAAAATTTTAACAACACAATACAACTGAAATAGCAAAAGTATCTACTTCTTTAAGCCATTACTTGCATTTATCGATTTAATAGATGATTTTCTTCACATTACAGTATGCTACTAATAATATTTTCTGGCTTTCTTCTTGGTATATTTGCTACCTATTAAAGTTAAAGATGAATGCCGAGATATTTTAGACAAGCAAAATTTTCAACATATCTTCAAATCAAATTTTTTTATTTATCCAAAACATACTAGAGAGTAGATGTTATTAATGTACAACAGATGGTTTGGCCGAATGAAAAAAAAAAGATTCTGTTCGGATAAGCAATGCCACAAGATGCTCATACATGAAGAATTTCTCCCCACAAGAGTACTATAATTTTTTTTTTTGACAATGAAATAAATATACAGAACGCTATACATTAAAACTACAATTTCATAAATACCTATTATGAAAATTATATATACGTTTATGTTCACCAATGCAAAACCTAAAAAGCAATAATTTTCGCACTCTCTTTGCCGAAAATTAGCGACTTAAAGTGACATCATACAGAAAAAGATCTATTTTCTTCCGTGTAAGGATCTTTTTTGTAACGCTGATATGCAAAAATACATTCAGCCATCGTTTTCGAAGCACGAGATACTGAATTTGTCATCCAAAAATCACCCAATTCAAGCAATTCCGGTTTCAGCAAAATATCCGTATTTCCAGGCTGAAATTTTCATATATTTTTTAGAATTTATTTATATTCTTTGGTCATGCCTTACGTCTTTAAGATCATCAACTGCGATTTCGAATTTTAAAATTATTTGAATTGTCCATCCAAAACAACTTATTAAGTGTTACGCATTTCCTCGAAATGTAATTAACAAATCAAAATAAATCACACCAATAGGAATGCTACTCGAATAATCTATGTGAAGGCTACTGAAAATGTTTTGCCATTAACTTCACTTTCAATTTCTGTTTGGATCTTTTCTTACATGACTGCAATGTGCTGGCTTCAAAGAAGTTAATTCTACAACAATAGACAGCAACCTGTGGTTAGTACCACAAATTTCAGAACATTGCTACTAAAATTTGCATGATCTAGTAATTTGACAATCTTTATAAATGAAAGCTATCAAACTACTAGATCATGCAAAAGAAAGAAAAAATAAAGCATGCAATACACGAAGGATGATGCATATAGTAAGCTTCTTGAAAGAGGATAATTATATTCTAAATTTCACTGTAAACTATTCATTAGTTAGAAAAGATTAAAATGGTACAGAAAGATATTTAAATCCTTTATGCAAAAATTTTGAAAAAAAAAAATCACTTCCGCTAACATAGCCGCTTGTTCTTGGAACGAGCATTCTTCAACACTTCCACAGCGTACTAGGTGAGGAGCAATCTGGAATACCAAACGATGTAAGAAAATTACCACAAAATTCTGAATTATTATCAAAAGCAAGAAAGCAACCTCGGCCATTCGACTTCTCATTTGGTCAAGATCGTTGTAAGGTAAAGCTCTCCCGGCCACTTCGCTAACAGCTCGTATTATTTTCCAATCTATTCTCGCATCACCTGGGGCAGTTACTGCAGCATAAGCCTATAAACTCAAAACTGTTAAAAAATAAAGAAAGGTCAGATAACTTCATTACTTGCTAAATGTTCCTCAACGTTTTTAATTATACTTTATAAATTAACACGGACCTTATCTTTAATTAATTAACTTATAAGCGTAGTAATATGAACGTTATCTGAGTATTCTGAATAAAAAATTCTCACAGCGATAATTTCAATTTCTTATATATAATAGATATGTTGTTTCGAAAAAGGAAACTTCGACGAAAGAAAATAAGTCAAGAAATCACATATCAGTAACTAATTATAAAGCAACAAGATGAAATTAAAATTAAATCGATTTGTTTATATTACAGTAAAATTTCGTGGTTATTGTAAATTATTTTATGAAATATAATGCAATTTCATTTGTTCCAATTGCTCCTATAAACAAATTGCTTCTCTGCATTGTCAGTCTGTGCATATAGAACTACGTGATTTTATGTCAATTTGTGATTTGTTTCGTGCATATACCATGACTACTAATATAAACGATATCGTAATGTTATGGATATGCAGAAATCTATAGAATAATCAGAGAAATTTAAATGAATTTTTGCTCTAAGTATAGTGCTCTATTAGTATAATTTAAGCATAAAATACATGGAACTTTCGAATCTATTCAAAAATTCCAATTTTATTTTTTTTATTAATTAATTAATGGAATAGATAGTTTTGATTAATTAATTAATGGAATAGATATTCCCACAAGATGAGTCACTTCATCTCTTTTCATAAAATTACTCCAGAAATGGTTGAAATTACCAACCCTTTGTGCTCGGCCTTCGGCATTAACATATGTGGCATCCTTTTCCGTGTAAGCAGCACCTGGCAAGATCAAATTTGCCAACTCAACTCCTATATCACCATGGTGACCTTAAAACTCAATTCAACTATTTCTTATAAACTTGATCATTTCAAAATGCTTTTGTGCGAGAAAAACACATTGTATCAACATAACATTCACCAACCTTGGTAAACAACAAAAGCATCAGAAACCAAGTCATTCTTTTTGATACGGCCACCATCAGCGCCAAGCATATACAAAAATTTAATATCTTTAGCCGAATTCAAAATCCACTCGGCTCCAGCCTAAATAGTTACCAGCTCTTCAATTCAGGAGAGTATAAAACATAAATTTCTCTCGATCACTGTTAGTGCAAATATACAAAGTATAAATATCATATGATTAAAGTATTCAAAACAGAACTCATATCTGCATTCAGCTTACAATAATACTCAGCAACGTGGTGAAGTCTGTGGTAAAGAATATGGTGCAGCCTATGGAACCCCGGTGGTCCTGAGATTACTACAAATTACAGCCTATCTTACGTTTATTTTTATTTATACTACTAATATATATTGCAGAAATTCGAGAAAACTCACTTTATAACCAACATCTAAAGCGCCAACTTGTGATGCATGTCGTTGCAAAATATTCACTATTTTAACAGCTAAAATTGAAAAAAAAACAGTAAAATATTTAGTTTTTGACCTAATGAATCATATCGTTTTAACGATTTATCGAGTTTGCAATCTTAATCGGCGTTCGAAGTATCGTGAGGCAAAAAATTCTTTCTTTCCTCGGAACAGAGAAAATACGAAATTAAGCATTATGGTTTAGTTATAGGTAAAGTTGTTTGAGATATTTTTGAGATATATACTACTCCATCCATTACTACAAGTTATATCACTATAAAAATATATCTAAAGCTCGAGATAAGAAGAGACTTAATAACAGTTAAGCTGATTCATATTCATACTTTTTCCAGTTTTAGATCGCAATTTCTCAGCGAATAATTGAATTTTTCCAAGTAGTGCAGCACCATGTTTTCCTTGTAAAGCGCCTGAACCAATAACAATCATTGGCCGTTTAGCTTTTTGCAAACGCTTAAATAAACACATTTTGAAGTGAATTTGAAATCATAATTGATAAATGCACCAAAATGTCTCCAACATAGCTCTGGTTAATTTTTGAATTAAGAAGAATAGCCAAAACTCACCTTAGCAAATTCGGTTTTACCGTTGATTATATCATCCAAAATTTTTCCATTATTACCCAAGTATTCATAATCATATTTTAAGTCAACTTCCTCGCCAATAACACCAATTTCAATATCGGTGTGTCGAAAACTGAAGGATACTATATTAGCGATTTAGAACAATGCCACTTGCGATATGCAAGATGGTGCAACTTCATGTCAGAAAATTTCATATTTCAGATTCATTCAGACATAACCTACATGAATTGTCAGACACTGATCTGGAAAAAAGCCAGTTTGTCGATAATATGCGGAATACGGAATGACATCGGGAAACAACGAGAAATTATATTTCAAGCATGAAGCTAATCCCGTAATAAAAACACTAAACAAACTACTTCCACAATAAAATTCATACAAGTGTAAAAATCCAATAAGACTGGTAGCAAATTATTTGTCATACCTTTTCCGTATACGAGCATTGAAAATTGCGGCTTCAAAACGTGGGTTTGTACCAACCAACAATAAAACATCTGCTTTTTCTACTCCAATAAATTTATCGTTCATGAGATAATTGCATCTAAAACAATTCGGTTCAAAAAAATTTATCAGTTTCAAATTATTAGACTATTTCATGTAACCCAAATAAAAATATCCCGAAGTGCCGAATCGAGCGAAGAGTTAGCTAGCAAAATCCAAAATCTTAAGTTCCAAACTAACAAAGAATTCAATTAAAGACTGCTTTCTGATTTCTATTTTATCAAACTTCCTACTCTTAATCATACATTCCTAGAAAGCTACCGAAGATCTGTTCCACCACTGCCATCTGGAAATGATTCTTCTGTACAAACCAATTCGCTGTCAAATTTATTCATCAAATCTTTCAAAGCTACCAAAGATTCTGAAATAGTTATTGTGTAAGTCACATAAATATGGCACACAGAAGTATACAAAAGTCAAATAACTATTTGTAAACAGATTTCTCTAATTTTTAAAATCCTTCTACAGTTAAAAAAAAACGAATTATTTTATTATTGAAACAAAGGAGAACCTGTATCACATAAATCTCCTGCTAATGCAGCAATATGATTTGATGAAGTAGTACGCAATTTTGATGCAACAGCAAAGAGTGC